CGCTGGTCCAGTGCCGCCCATTAGTTTTTTTTTCATAATCTTGGGAAAATGTTTTTTTGAATAGGTGAATTATTCAACTTTGACTTCATTTCTACGTTTATAAAATTACCGAAGACCGCTTAGGCCAACCTGTTGAATTTCGAGAAAAATGGTTTCTAAATTGTGACGTCACCGACTCAATAAAACGTTTTTCGCTTCATCTCAGGATGTAATTCAGATATAAGGACTTATGACCAGTGTTTTGGAAACGCCGGAATGTTAGCTTTCCAATGAAGTAGAAATTTTTGAAATCGGGGAGCTTCAATTTTTCTGAAAATTGAAGGCTTTCTTTGAGGCAATTTGAATGACTCTCTATGGCTAGATCGGAAAAAATCCGGCTTCGAACCCTGGTTATAAGTCCTTTTTCGCCCACTACTTCCACAATTTCCAAAAAACGTTTCCGAAATTGTGACGTCACTAACTCGTCAAAAAAACGTTATTCGCTCTATCTCAGGAAGTAATTGAGATATAAGGACTTATGACCAGAGTTTTGGAAACTACGGAATGTTTGTTTTCCAATGGCGCAGGAATTTTTTAAATCGGGGAGCTTCAATTTTTCTGAAAATTGAAGGCTTTCTTTAAGACAATTTGAGTGACTCTCTATCGCTAGGTCGGAACAAATCCGGCTGCGAACCCTGGTTATAAGTCCTTTTCCGCCCACTACAGCCTCCACAATTTCCAACAAATGTTTCCGAAGTTGTGACGTCACTAACTCGTCAAAAAAACGTTATTCGCTCTATCTCAGGAAGTAATTGAGATATAAGGACTTATGACCAGAGTTTTGGAAACACCAGAACGTCAGCTTTCCAATACCCCACGTGGGATTGATCGCCGACTAGTTGCATCAAACCCCCCGCCCCCGGTAAATAATTCGTTTTTTCGCAAGTGGAAAATTCTCAGCGGTAAAGTAGGCGCCACGTTAAAAGCGGGTTGAGAAAAGGGTGCAAGTCGAGCGGGCGTCGACGGCAATCGTTTTGTGTCTGCTACTCGGCTAAATATATATACAGCAAACACCTATAAAATAAGAAAAGTTGCTTTAACCCTCCCCCCCCCCCCCCCCCCCCCCCCCCCCCCCCCCCCCCCCCCCCCCCCCCCCCCCCCCCCCCCCCCCCCCCCCCCCCCCCCCCCCCCCCNTTTTTGAGCATCAGAATTTTTTTTCATCTCAAGTGAAACGACAATTTTTCATTCATTTGAGTAACGAGAATTTCATGGGAACAGAGAGCCTCATTGTTTTTAATTTATTTTATTTCATTTTATTTTTCTTTGAAAGATGGGCGTTTTCCTCCGCTTCTGCTTCTACTTTTGCTCGGCCAATTAAGCGTCGAATCTCGAGGGCAGAATCTTTTTTGAATTCATCAATGAAAACAGCCAAGGACGGGACGACTAAAATTCTATGAATTTTTAGATTTCTTTTTTCCTTGTTTCGATGAGATTTCTGAATTCTACGGTTTCTCGCTTTTTTTTTTCTGATTAATCTATTGTGGGAATCAGAGACTCTCGATGACTTCAGATGATTGTGATTGCGATAAGGAATGGATTAATGGGTGAGTGGAGTGAGATAACTGATTTTTTTAAACGATTTTTTATTTTAGAAACTGGCGGTTTGAGAGAAAAAAAATATTTCTCGTTCGGCGGGAAATGGGGTACGTAATTACCTCAGTCAACGGGTTCGGAAATTTAGTCTCGAATTTCAGAATAAGATGGTCCATTTTGCCCCGCCACTGCTGAAAATAATCGTGAAAATGTGAAAAATGGGGCCTCTCTAAATTTAATAACGGAATTTTCGTCGTTAGTCGTGTTTATTTTTTTAATTTACGTTTATAATAATTTCGTAATAAGTGCAGGCCCGTTGCGTTTTCAGTATTTATGGGCGACTCGTAAAATACACGGCTAAACGACGTGCGTCTGAAATCGCGTGAGACATCTCACGAAGAGACTGCGGTGGTTCCAGGGATTATTTTCGAATTTTGCGGATTTGGTTTTTTTTTTTGGTTTTTGTTGTTGTTG